GTCGTGGGAAGGACTACTAGTGATACCAAGTGTAGACGGGCACTTCTACGAAGTTGCCTCGTGCTATTTAGCACACACCTTCAGCACAAGCGAGGAGGCGGTTAGACCGTCTTACCTTCGCGTGCGAGGGTGGTTAGGAGGTTGGTCGACTTCTTAAGCAGTACTTAAGCAGTCGACCCACCAGTTGCCTCTCGCTTTAGCGAGAGTGCAACAAATAAGTAACAAGTGTCCTACTTACGTCACGCAGTATCTTTCTCAGCTTCTCGTGCGCAGTAGGCAGTATGTAGTAAATTTTAGACTGAGCTATATTTAATGAATTATAATTAAATATAACTTAGCTACTGATTGGCTATGTATATAAATCGGATACGAGACTCTTTAGAAGCGTATCCTAACGTGCAAGCTTAAATCTAGATTCAAGCTTGCTAATGAAGTCCTTCTGAGACGTCGCGATGTCTAGCTTCAACTAGAATCATCCCTTTCCATTTGAATCCATCAATGGATATCACATCTACGAGGGCGGATCACATTTGTGTATGTCTGTTAACGCGTTACGCGAGCCGTCTTGCCACCAAAGTGGCTAAACTTCTGCATGCATCGGGTAATTCCTCTTCTCTACATTTCTCTCTACTCTCGCCAGGATCCATTAAGCGGCGAGTTATATATGCGCCGCGCTGAAGGCCGTCCAGGCTGCACGATCCTTTGCACACAGGCAAAGGAGGCGCAGGTCTGGGGCCAGTCGACGGCGGTTTCTAGCGGTAGGTTTCTTGCTTGGATCCCTTGGATGTCTATCTTGTCAACAGGTCCTACCCAGGGAGGGTCTCTTGTTGCTTGCACCGTGGAACAAAGGATGATGCGAGCGTACCTAAGCGGAGATGCCGGGACTACGGGCGTGCGGCGAACATCGTGGCGGCTTGACTGGCGGCTGGGGGTGAGAGCGGCAAGAGAGAGGTGTGTAGAGGGAGAGAGGCTCGTCCTAAACTGACGGATACCGCGAAGCATCCGTCCAAGGCCTGACTAGCATTAAGCTAGCTCAAGCCTTTCGGGAGGGCGTTGCCCCAACCCGACCAGGATCACATTTGTGTATCGCACCCAAGTGACAGGTTAAACGTAATCATGGATACTTTTAAACCTTACATTTAGTATATTACTTAAAGTTTACGTGTTACTAGATGCCCTGTTACATAGGCACTGTGATAAAAGGAATCCGTTATTATCTTTATACATGCATTTACCCGCTCCTCACTCCATATTGCTCCTGTCCGCTTAATCTTCACCTGGCCCCAATCCAGTTGACATAGTATAGTGAATACAAACGCTAAGTTAGCGGTCGTCATTGTTATCATCCCGCGCCTTTCACGCGCAGTCGTATTAAGGGCGGTGTCCATTTCTAACTGGAATTGCCTTGGAGTCCATTGAAGCCGACCACTATAAAACGAGTCAAGCGATTAAGCAAAGGTTACCTTTTGGTTGACAAATGGACTAATAAGACAGCAAAACGTTTTTATTAAATAATTTAAAAACGATTATAAAATCCATTGCAAGCAGCTGAGCCCCCAGCTGTTAGCATATGCTGAATAACACCTAGCATGATACAAAATGTAATGATACAATCTTGATGTATCAGTGTCGATCACGTCAACCTTTATGTCAAACGGTGGTATTCATGGCACTCTTGCTGCAAGAAGCAAACGCAAACACACACGTGTGCGGACGCTTTCATCGAAAGAATTGAGGCACACAAACAAGCAGACCAATAGACAACAAGAATCAATGCTGGCAAACAATAAATTAGCAACTGATTAGTTCACAGCTTTTCCTCTCGAGACTGTTCTGATCACTTTCATCTGCCCTATCATGGAGAGCACCTTGGCCTGCACCGAGCGTCAGCTAATCTTGACTACATTATGTTCTTTTTCTTTCAACGATATGTATGGACGAAACCGTGGCGACGACAAGATTGTTGCTATCCTGTGCCATCTTACCCTTGTTTGTTCTTGTAGTCCAAGATAGCAGCCTTGATAGCGTCCTCTGCTAGCATACTACAATGCAGTTTGACAGGCGGTAGCTTCAAATGAGACGCAATATCCGTGTTCTTAATCTTAAGACAGTCCTCAACGGTCTTGCCCTTGAGCCACTCAGTAGCCACCGATGAAGACGCGATGGCAGAACCACAACCGAACGTCTTAAACTTGGAGTCTACAATTGTTCCATTCTCATCCACTTGAATCTGTAGCTTCATCACGTCACCACAGGCGGGGGCTCCTACGAGACCTGTACCCACGTCCTTTGCATTCTTATCCATGGCGCCAACATTACGCGGGTTCTCATAATGGTCAATCACATTCTCGTGGTACATACGCGTCTGGCTAAGAGAAGGGACGACGTTGGCTGAGCGGGCAGCAGAAAATACGCCAAGCGATCGCTTTAAGGTCGTACGGGCGATCATTGTTCAATAGAATTGTACGAGTTGTTAGTCTCTAAGTCTTCGTGAAATGATATACTGTTACTCTCAAGTCGTGCTGCGTCGTGTGCGCCACACAAGATAAAAGACAGACGCGTGTCTCTGACCAATCAAGAAACACTGCTATTTCTATTTTGATAAATTATGATAGGTGCAACGGATTCCCGCCTGCGATTGGCCATTTTACTGACATCGACGGGTGACGCACGCTCCCATTCAAAATGATTGCGAGGTGGGACAGGTCGTGGCCGCAGTATTACGTAACAATTTCCCAGGCTATTTTGATATGATATGCAGGTACAACTTGCTATAGCTATTCATTGCTAGAAAGTAAAAATAAAATGAAAAAACGGGTTATATTAAAGCGTGCCAGACGCGTTTTGGCCCCCGCAAGGCCTCGTCAGTGATTTGTCAATTTACAAGTAAAACTTGCGAACATCAAACTATCGAAGACCTATAATATCCATAAGCATTTAGAACTTACTAGAACATTCCACTCAGCTTCGGTTGAAGCTCTGGAGTTGATATCAAGTGCAACTTGCATTTCCCAGACAAAAGCGCTCTTCAGAAGATGCATATCTCTTGTCAAAATTGATAAATGAGACAGGTTCCTCCCTAATCGCTACGGAGATGAGCGACGCAGCTTTTTCTGATTAGCGATACAGCATAGAGAGCTGCATACAGACATCTCGCTACAGTACTAATGTATACGTATTGTGCTTTTCGTTACAAGTGTCCCTTTGATTTTGCGCCTCTATGAGAGCCATCGCCACATTCTTCGGGTCAGGGGTCTTGTCAAGATCGATTTTTGCATCATCTTCTTACATGTCTTCATAGTGCATCGTGCCTCTTGACCATATCATTGTGGTGTCAAATAGCTGTAGTCATTGTAATAGGCATATCGAGAGAAACACAGATTCGTGTGTAGCAGTTGCTGCTCTTTGCTCTACGCTTAAACTCAAGTCAACGGCTGTCGTGCACATTTGTTTCGACGTAAACATCGAAACACGAGATCGGTAAATCATTGAGCCAGTAGCAATGTCGTTGCTCGCTTTGCATTCACACCAATATATTATACCCATCATCGGAAAGCTGCAGACACCGAGCCTTGGAGCAATGATACGAAACGGCAAGAGATCGCGCGCTTTCAGGAACTAGTTCACTTTCAGTATTTCTATCACAACCAGTGTAAGCCTCACAGCGGCATCGGGGTCATTTCATGATTTGAACCGTAGCCAGACTGTTTTTATCGGCTACACTAGATCCAGGTTTGCTACAAATCGGCCGAAACCACGTCACCTATGCCGCATCTGACAATCTGGCGTCGTTCAACGCTTGATTTGAGAATCAGCAGGTGTCGAAGCATCCCGCCGATACATCACGAGCATCGATTTGAAACGCAGTGCACCTGGAGGTATAGCATGACTCGCTTGACAAGACCAAGCAAACATTTGTCCATGTCATTTTATATATGACTTTGCGGCTTGTCGACAACTTAGATCGTTAGTTGAATCTAGCAATAACCTCTTCGTCCGATACGTTTACTGGCGTTCGCGTAATGACCTGATCACATGTAATTGTATGTATTATTAACCATGAGGGCGTTTTCATGACACAATTATCAAGCGCTCCTGCGGCTGTGCTGATGCATCTTTCCAGCCGGTGCAAACAATTGTGTCGATGACTGGAGGTAAAGCTCGTCGGACAGCAAACTTGTTGGCGTCCTAACGCATATATATAGGAAAATCAGGGTTCGGTAGATGCAGTAATACATAGAGGGCTGCACAGTCTTGAGACTCCGACTGCTAATCATTTTGACGGTGTTAGAAGCAGAAATTAAGGATTGAGAAACACACGCCTTTTTACAGTAACCAAGCGTCGTACGAAGCCATCATGCGGAGAAGCCATCATGCGGAGAAGCCAACAGTAGAGAGTACCACGACTCTAAATGCGGAGGCAGCTTCTGAAGAGCGCACGCAATCGACGCTCGCATTAGGATGTTGAGCCATTTAATATTTCTTAGCTGACTAAAGAAACACGTCGACGAAACTAGCACTATTGACCAGGCTGCCTGGGGTGCTCGAATCTCTTGAGCATTTCAATCCATTTCGTCAAACTACTTCACTGAATGAAGCGAAAGGTCGACTAGATTGGGTAGTTATATCGTTGACGAATACAAAACAATCGTGTTAATAATCACGATGCGGCCGTTGACATTGATTGTCAGTCTTGATTGTGCGAATTAGCTCAAGCCAATTTGCTCTATGTTGCTAAGAAAAACCCTTGGCGTTCAAGAGCCCATCGTCACCGGCAAACTGTGCAATCCAGCTGGCACGTAATCTCTCCCGACACACACACTATTTTATTCAACACCATGTCCAAAAGTATCCATGTCCTAAACTCCTTCGTTAATTTTGTTGCTAGCTAGCTTGATCGATATATTCTGTTGCCTTAACCAAAACTATGTTGCGCCAAGCGCTCAGGCGCAACTGCTGCGAAAGTTGCATTTGCTATGGTGTTTTCTCTAGCCACAAAAATGGATGAACCGGTATGGTCGTGCTTCGCATCACTTCGAGACGAGGCTGCGCGATCGAATAATGATACACTTCTTGTCAATCTATCCGTGGAAGGTCAATTGATGCATCGACGGCGAATTAGTCGTAAATGTTCCTTCTTCGACTTGGCGTCGGTGGCGACTGGTTTAGAGAAGCAGCGTGAGCGACTTGAGGTCATTCTTAAAATAATCGATGGCGAGTTATCGCTCGAAGAAGTCGATGCTATTCGATATAGATTGAAAGTTGGGGATATTGTTCGAATTCGAGGCTTCGTCGAGCGTCTCGAAGGCGGTACTTCGATCTTGCTTCATGCGCGTGATATTATAGTCGTTCGAGCGTGGAAGGACGAAAATCCGGGGGTGACATTTCTCCCACTACCTACGGTGGTACATGCGGTGAAAAAACGGCAGCCACTTGAATACAAAAGGCAAGACAAGAATATTGGTGTTAAGGTGGTACAGGCTGGCACCGAGCAAACCGCTATTGAAAGTACAAGCGAGCGGGTGCACTGCAAGTTTTGGATTAACTCGAAAACATGTCAGCACGGTGACAAGTGCGAGCTATTCCATGTTAGCGACGCTGAACGGAAGAATGAGCGCGCCAGATGGGTAAACGAGAGGTTGCACCTGAAACGCGTTCGTGCCCATATCGATGAAGATCCATTAGATCCACATGGGAAAACTGGAAAGCAACAACGCGCTCAAGTGTTTGCTGAATGGCTAGTTGAGACATTTGGTGCGGGTTTTCTTGCCGATGGAAAAGGCGTTGTGGATGTTGCGGGAGGAAGAGGTAGTTTATCATTTGAGCTGTGGAACAAGCGGAAGCTGCCCTGCACTCTTGTCGAACCGGTACGTGACCTTGTCAGTCTAAAATCTTGTGCTACACTAAGACGAACTTGTGATGTACAAATAGCGTCCTATGAAGCTGCTCAAGCAACAGCATAAATTTTTGAAGAAGCAGAAGAAGGTACGCGAGCAATCTGGTGAAACAAAACCATTTCTCCATGAGTCGCCTGTTCCACAAGTTAATGCGCTCTTTAACATGGACACGTTTTTGGAGAAGACAGAATATGTCCAGCTCGTCGAGCAGGCATCGCTTCTGCTGGGTATGCACCCCGATGAAGCCACTGAATCCATCTTCGATGTTGCCATCAAATTTAACAAACCTTTCGCGGTAGTTCCTTGCTGTGTGTTTGGCCAGAAGTTTCCCAGTCGTCGACTTGCGGATGGAAGCAAGGTTTTGTCGTACGAAAACTTGGTCGAATATCTCATTTCCAAACATCCAGACATTGAAAAAGCATTCCTGCCATTCGATGGGAAAAACTTGGTGCTGTTTCGGCGGCCCGAGTCTTGCAAGAATAGGCCTTTAGGTAGCTGAGTAGTTTGCGTTTACAAAGTGGGTCAGTACATCAATGGCAGAAGCAAGGAAAGTGTCCATTATTTTAAGCGGAAGTCTGCGCACGGTTGCATGTGTTGTTCAGCCACTGCTCAATTGAGAAGGTGTGTATTCTGTCGGGGAACACGACAGCTCCACTTTGTTGTGAATCGTTGTCGCCGTTATCTAACTGAGTTAAATCGACAGGAAAAGTAGGCTCAACGTCTTGAGTACTGAGAAATGATGCAGCTTCCCACTGCTTTACACACTCTTGGCTACGGAAGAGAGCAACTTCGCCATTGACACCCAGACAGATCCACGCAAATGCATAAGTCTTCGTCTCGTAGGGGTTTTTCACAAATAGCAGCTTCATAACAGGGAACGAGACCTGGGCCCACACTTTCATAGCAAATCGAAAGTCAGGCATATCCTTGGGTCTCATGTCTCGGTAGCTTTCAAGCCGATAAATAATCCTGCAACGAGACAAATTGTTTTGTTATCACTGCATGATCATCTCAGTATCAAAGCTTGACAAATTGCGCACCCTTCTTCTCCGGAGGCCAAAACAATGTCTTCATCTTCAGCCGAAATGCTTGCCAGTGCTGCAATTGGCGTACGGGTGGGGACCGTACCGAATTCTTTGCCACAATTGGTCAGCACTAAGTACTTTTGGCCAGTTGCAACAAGGATGTAGTTGGACAGTGTCTTCTCCACATCCAGCAGTCTTGCATGTGTGATCGCTTGCACTGTAGGTTGGGCCCGATCTGGATAAAAATACTCCAAACCAACGCTGTTTCTTGACGCAAAAGCAGGAAGTCGTCTCTGACAACGTTATAGTCACAGCACATGACAATTTTAATCATCATTTCTTCAATATACCTCTGACGGTCCCACACCCACCTTCCAAAGGATTTCATACAGTGTGATACCGTATATATTGCCCAGCGCATCCCCTACAACAAAAATCCCGCTCACATCATCACAAATTTGCTGTATCGCGCCTTCTAATTGGAAACGCCGAATCTCCTTCACCCAACAAACAACTATCAGCCTCAGATCGAGGTATTGTGGGGAAAAGATCCGTCTTACCAACTGTTCCCGCAGCACCACGAGTTCACCGCTTGCACTGCCAATAAACAGCAGCGTGCCTTTATCCTTCTCATTAGCTTCAATGCCGCAAACATTCTGCAAAAAACACATTCACTCCTCGTCAGATATGCCTATTAACGCCTCTCTAAGGCTATCCATATCGCCCCACCGTTACGGCGTTTTCACACACACGCAGATGCCAATACACGTGCGTCAGTGATAGCTCAGTGCCATCCCGACAGCCTGGATCGCTCGGGACGTTCGCGGCGATAGCGCGCACGCTTCCGTCCACGAAGCCCACATAAACGCGGCGACTGGCGTGGCAGCCATGCGCGCACGTCAGCTCTCTGCTCCTGCAAGCAACTGTATCGCCCATTTGTAATGGCAGCTTCGCAAGAGGGCGTAAGCTCGAAGTAACTTGTGGTACGGTTAGCGTCATTCCCAAGTCTTTTTTATCTGCGGAAGGTGTTGTATATGCGATTCTAAAATCGAATTATATATAGGAGGTAGACCTATGATTGACTTAATGGCTGAATAGCTTATTTGAATAATTCAAATTTAGACAATATATCAAGTGCTAGAGAAAGAGCGGAGGCCGAAGGTTCGGCGCACGTGACGAGGGATCCTAAATCATATCACAAGATAGTCGCAAGTAGCGCGTGCTTTCAATCTTGAAACAAATACGTAGGATTGGTTACCAAGTTTGTGGTGGTGGCGAGATGTCCTCGTCAAGGTGGATTAAATAATAGTGTTCCTGTTCTGACTATGGACTCTATGGCGTTGGTCGTTGTGTGACGCCACCTTGGCCTCGAGACCAAAAACGCAGTGAGAACTTCTTCTTGTTCTTAATGGCGCTATTAACGCTCATTGAGAAACTGCACATCTTGCCCAAGGGACGGTACGCATCCCACGACTCAGTGTTCGGCGACGACGGCCAGTTGTCTCCATGTGTGGGCGTCGAGGGTGCGGGCACACGCACCTCGGGCACCTGCTGATATTCCTCATTACTGAACACAGCACGGATCTGGGGAAATCGCACGAGAAAGTTTGCCACGTACGGCTGAAAGGTATAGATGAAGGCGTTGCTGTCGGTGACCGTGGGGCCGCTTTCACCCACGGACTTTCCGCTAATAGTGTGCTGTAATATCTTGGCAATCTGCACGCCCATAGGTAGTGACTGTGCTGTGTGGGCGGGAAAGTCGAACATTTCGGGCTTGATGAGCGCCGGGCAAAGTATCCGCAGGAAGAGCAGGCTACCCACCACGATACGTACGTCATGCTTGCACTCCGGAAAGGCCTTGCGAAACTCAGTGAGCATGTAATGGCAACCGGCACGCAGCACGAGAGGTGCAAAGTGGATAGCCTTGGCCAGTCGCTGAATGACACTCTTGGCATACACGCACACTTGCCCGGTCGAGGGCGGTCCGCGTGCCTTGTACAGTGTTGACTTCTCGCCGAATACGTCACGCAGTACGTAGCGAAAGTAAGCACGGCCCTGTGTGCGACCGAGCTTCTTCATGAGCAACGTCAGCTCAGATGTAGAGCGCAGGAACAACTCTCCACGCCCTTGCACGTCCTTAAGCTCGGCCTGCACGGCGCACTCCAGCTCGTGCAAACGTGGCAGGTCACTGTGCGAACGCCTGCATTGCGAGTTCCACTTGCCCATCACTGTTTGTTCTTGTCCAGTGTTGCTGTGCCCTTTATGTTACTCGCGACGAATGAGCTGGTGAGCTGTAGCACGAATCTGTCTAGCAGTTGCCGCAACAACTTGTTTTGCTGACACGGCGAGTTCTACAATGAGAAGCTGCAGCAAGTGGCGTTTTTTTTGCGGGAGATGAGACGCTGCCGCCGTCAATATCTTTTTGTATAGGTGCTAAGGGGTTCTCACGTGTGGAGCTAGAAGGCGCACGGCAGTTTACGGCGTGCTTCTGGAGTGAGTGTGAATTCTAGATGCCCCGTACCTAATTGTTTCCGTCTATGCAAGTTTCGCGGAAAGCGACTAGAAGACGGGACAGTCCAGAAATTCAGCTCGATGTCTTTCTGATTAATCGAGTAAAAATCAAACGATTTGGAAAGGTTTATTTAGTACACACTTTCTAGTATAGTATAAGAAATCTTCGGGGAATCGAAATCGGCACCGCCATCCAAGGAAGGTCGCGTACCCCATCCAATGTGCGAACCATGATAAAACCGTTGCAGAGCTCATCAATCACCTCACAGATATGGGGATAAATGATTTAACCACGGTCCTGACCTGGGATCACGGGGCCCGTCGCGTCCGGCGGGGAATCACAACTATTGCTCGCAGGCTCAAGCAACGGCGATCACGGTACATCCATAAGCTCCGACGGCGAGCACGAATTCCACTATTAACACGCCAGGCCTGGCACCAAGTCCAACATGAGGATCAACAGGAGGCTCACATCAGTCGGGTCGGCCTCTTGCTTCAACGAACAACCGACAAGCTTCGCAAGAAATTTAAAAAAGTTTCAGATTGGGAACGTGATCAACGCGTAACCGCCATCAGGAGACTCCACGGTAATCCGTTTCCGGTCGGTTGCAGTGTTGCCGACAAATTTGGATCTGAATGGGATCATGTGCTGGGGAAGAGTCACCGTACCGTCCCAGATACGGAGCTGCGTACGGCTCTTCACCAATTTGTTACTCTCCCGTCCGACCGCATTGTGACCACCGCTGAAAACGGCGCTCTTATGGCAAGTATAACGGAAACCGAGGTGGTCCTCGCAATACGAGCACTCAGTCGGCATAAAGCCCCAGGAACCGACGGCTTAGGGAATGATCTGTATAAGGATCTCCAATCGCTGTTAGTTTCGCCGCTGGTGGAGATAGCTAACGAAATCATCCAAGGGGCACACCCACCCAAATCCTTTATGGAAGCGCTTATAATCCCACTGCGTAAGAAAGGAGATTCCGACAACGCGATGGACTATCGGCCGATTTCCCTTTTGCAAACGGGGTACAAGGTTATTGCGAAGGTCTTGGCTACGCGTATGCAGTCGTGTTTGCCGCATGTCATTGGTGCTTCTCAACAAGGCTTTGTTCACGGACGACAAATGCAAAAGACGGTATCCATGATGCTCGCTCATCTCCAAAGCGCACGTGAGGAGAGTACATTAAACGCCGACGCCAGCCGCGCCATTGTCTTGTTGGATTTTCGGAAGGCCTACGATACAGTCGACCGAGACTTTATGGTGGAGGCGCTTCGACTCTTCGGCTTTGAAGAAAAATTTCTTGCGCTAATTCAACGGCTCCATACCAATACGACAGCACGGTTCTCAGTCAATGGAGAGATTTCTTCAATTCGGGGAGTTCGGTCGGGTATTCGGCAGGGCTGTCCTCTCGCTCCCCTTCTTTTTCTGGTGGTAGTAGAGGTATTGGCAGTTGCAATACAAACGTCGCCACAACTTCAGGGGCTCACACTTCAGGGAGCACATACACCCAGTCACATCTTTTCGGGGTTTGTCGACGACTCCACATTATTTCTTCAAAAAGCAAGTTTACTACGACCGGCTATGGAAATTATTACTGAGTTTGGACGGCTATCGGGGTTGCAAGTGCAACCGACTAAAAGCCAAATCATATTTTTAAATACGGCTATCCATCAACTCACGTACCAAGGAATTGCAGTGGTTGCTCCGTCAACAACTACGAGATATCTCGGATATCAAGTGGGGACAGGAAAGTTGCGAAATATTAATTGGGCTCTCCGCATCAAAAATACACAGCGCCGCCTCCTCACTGCAACGCGAGTATCGACGACTCTCGAGCACCGTGTCCTAATACTCAACACGATTGTTCTCCCCGGGATTTTGTTTACAGCAGCAGTTTTCGAGCCCCCCGGCTGGGCGCTAAAACAATTGGATCACCTCTATAAAAAATTTCTCTGGAAATCGTCCAACAAGATCGAACCTGGGAGACACAAAGTCGCTCCAGGCCTACTTTACACTCCCCGGAAGGCAGGAGGAATTGGCCTAGTGTCCGTCCCAGTTGCTATTAAAACACAGCGAGTGAAACACGCGCTTCTGGCACTTACTCGGCCGGAGGATATGTATCTCACAGCGTGGGTGTCCTGGAACACGCATGGTGCACGTAACACGAGCATCAGCCCGCATCGACCGAGCGTAAAACACATCGTATCGCCGTCGTTCGAGCGTTATCCCGATGTGATCCATGAACTCGGCTGCACATTACGGCCAGACATCGCGCAAACGGCGGTAATCCTAGCACGAGTACAAGAACATCTACCGAACCTTCGGTCATCATCGACCAGTTGGTGGGAGGAAAATGACTGGATTTTGCACCTCTCCGAGCCCCTTCCATGGCGGCCTCAAGGGGATGAGATTTGGCCTCAGGTGATAAACGATTTTTGGCAGACTTTTCAGTGGAGTGGTAATCCTTGGATTCTCTCACCGCAGGCGCTCGAGCTGTCCCGATCCAAATATAACAGAATTCGTGATGTATCCCTCGAACAACTCCACATCCAGCGGACAGGCCCCCAAGAATACGTCTTCAGCGGCATTGGCACGGATGTCCATGACCCCCGCCATTCGCATGCGAAACTTCGAGAATGGGCGATCATAATTTTACTTTCGTCGCCGCCACTAGACGTGGGAAATCCGGTAGGGTGCCCAAGCCCATTGCGGCTAAGGCAACAGCTACCATTCACGCAAGCCATCTCATGGGTGCTGATCGGGCCAGGCAAGGTTCGAGGCGTTTCACTCTCTGATGAATCTGATCGCCCTCAGAGTTGGGAGCTCACTCAATGCCACGATGGCATAACTTGGGTTTTCGACGGCGCTCCGCCGCTAGTAAAAGGGAAATCGCAGGAGCTCACCCAACAAGCGGAGAGCAAGCTCAGCCGACATGGGGTGGTCTTTTTTTCCAACCCACAGATCCACCACTATCCGTGGTCCGCACCGCCTACGGTCCCCAACCATCGACTATTCACTTTTTTGAAAAAACAAGCTTTTCAGGCGACAAAGCGCGGTCTCGCAGCACCGCTGAAGCAGGTCATCGATCGGCTAGTCACAAAGAGCCAGAATACGCGGTGGCAATGCACAGCTTTAAATGTCACGCCGGCTCAGCTATGGGATCACGGCCATGCGGTAACGGAATACCAGTTATGGACACGATATCGACACGCTACCGGACAGCTAAACTTTTGGTACCAAAACCGACCCCCGGACGGATCATGCACATATTTGGAATGTGTAGGCCAAAAGGAAACCCAGGAGCATCTCTTTTGGGGATGTCCCCGCGCTCAGGCAATCTGGGCCCGGCTTATCAGTCATTGGGAGAGTACACCTCACCATCCTACCCACCTCCTGGATTGGCTCGAACACTGCGCAAACTGTAGCGTACCACGTATCTCGCCGCAGGTCACAGCAAAGCTGTTAGCCCGGTACCCGGAAGACATTGATCTATTCGCCACAGCCTGGAGGACGATTTGGGAAGTCGCAGTGACCGTCATTATCACAATGCTCTGGCAACTTCGCGTGGATAGGATTTTTAACAATGCGCTTATTCCGATACAAGCCAGTGAAACTTTGATCTGGAATAGGATTCAGCTCCAACTGAGGGCGCTCATCAAACGTCTCCATTGCAGAGCGGCCACAGCCGTCCGTGGAGCCCAACTATCTGCATGTTACGACATATTTATATCAGAACCGAGAGGGCAGTCCGGCGTTCATAGACGTGCTGCCAGCCGTAGGCAATTCCTGGACCCTCCAGCGTTGCTAGTGTGGTTAACTACCTACCAGAGATCTTGCACTAATCAGTAAATAGACAATCTGTTCTCTCTCTAGTATAGTATAAGAATAGCAATAGCGCGTGAGAGAAAATGCTAAGTATGCAGATGGGCCAGCGGCTGGAAATGGCGCTACTTCCTGGAGCTCAATTGGCAACGGCAAACGTTGACTTCACCGAAACTGAAATCAAAGGTTAATTTAAGCGTGTAATGGCTGACACTTTGGTAAAGTCTTGGTCGAGCGGCATTTAGCGCACCCAGTCATGCCTTGATGAAGCCATACGTGCGTGGCTTCAGCGAACGCCTTCGCAGTTTGCAGTGACTGTTCTAACTCATATGGGTGGTGACGAACACCATCTACAACAGTCTGCCAGCCACGCAGTTGATATGGGTGCGTCGTAGACGGCCAAATTCTGGCGTTCGCTTGCTAGCATCTTCGCTGAGGCTGCTTTTGTGCCTGTGGTGTATATTATTTCGATCCACCGGCTGACGTCATGGGTGCCTTTAGCTAGTGAAGAATAGTGGTCAGATCATTAATAATCTGCTCGAAGACCGAAATAACCAGCGCACGAATTCTGCGCAATAAGGACGGTAGGTCGCGCTCCGTCTTGACGACCATATGCTGAAGGAGCTTGCTGGGATGTCGAGCATCCGGGTTATCGGCCGCTGCAGTATTGTAACGTCAAATCCCTTAGCCGCATCGTACAGAATTTTTGTACTTTTTGCCGGAGACTGCTGCTCTCCAGCTGGGGCCCGCTTGTGGCTTATAACGTAGCTATAAAAAATTAGCATGCGCATCTGATGGGGCAAGCATTCGCGCTAGTCTGTCTATTCCCTTTGCAATGTTGTTAACGCCACGGTCTTCGTTCATTGAAGTGCCACATGTTTAGGAGACTGTT